GTTTCACTGATTGTTTGCATTTTTATGTGTTTATGTTTCATTAATTTCTACCCTGATCTCAAATTATTTGTTCCCTTCTACTGCTCTGTTCAATTTGTTCTCTTTCTCCCCAAGGCCTTAAGATGCATCATTATTTGAGATCTCTCAATTTTTTTTTGATGTAGGCACTTAATACTGTATTATATCCTACCCTGTACAAAAGTCAACTCCAATGGATCAAAGACTTCAATATAATATCTGGAACCCTGAATCTGGCTAAATGAAGAAGCAAAGATTACACTGTAACATATAGGTATATAAAGCTTTTCAACATATGAAGATTTTCTGAATAGAAGTCCAATAGCCAAAGAAATAAGGCCCACAATGACTGATAAATGGGCTCTCGTGGAACTAAAAAAAGCTTCTGTAGAGCACGAGAAACCAGTAACGGAAAAGGCAGTCCACAGAATGAAAGAAATTATCTGTCAGCTATATATTGATATAAGGTTATTAACCAGAATCTATAAAGGACTCAAAAATCTAAACTCCATAAAAACAAAGAACCTAAATGGGCTATGGGACTTAACATGTACAGACATGCAGGGAAAGAATCCATACGCATAAAACAAATAAAGCTCCTTGAAGATTTCACCTCAATCCAGTCAGACTGGCCAGCATCAAAGCTGCAAAGAACAACAAATACTGGCATAGTTGTGGGTAAAGGGGACCACTTACACAACACTAGTGTAAGTGTAAACTGCTATATCACTTTTGAAATCAGTCTGGAATTTCCTCAAAAAAAAAAAAAAGTTTACCATCTATATGACCCAGCCATACAACTCCAAAGAAATTCATATCCTACTACAGAGACATTTGCACATCTACCATTAACCATGGTAGCTCTATTCACAATAGTTAGAAAACAGAATCAGTATTATCCATGAACTGATGAATGGATGATAAAACTGTGGTATGCATATACAAAGACATTTTATTTAGCTATGAAGAAAAAATGAAAATGTGGAATGTGCAGAGAAATGGATAAAACTGGAAAAAACATATTCAAAGGTAACCCAGGCCCAGAAAGACAAACAATGTGTGGTCTCTCCTATGTGCAGATCCTGTACTCAACTCTTTAGTTTTATGTATTTAACCTGGAATACATATGGAATCAGGGAGATCAGAAAGGGGACAATGTGCAACACTGCCTTAAGGGAATGGGGATAGCAGCACATAAAGAAAAGGAGAAAGGAGAGGGGGAATATTAGGAACAAAACTTCAAACATAGACAGGGTTGAGAGTATGGGGGAGTTGAGGTAATAGGGATGGGTAAGGAAAAGGAGGGTATGAAAACGTCACTTGAACACCTACTATCAGGTAACCCAATTAAAATATATACAATAGAGTTTGAAAGCAGACAGCTCACAAGGTTAGACAATGCCAATCCTAGAAGTAATAGGTCTGTGCTGGTTGTGGTGAGGTCCAGATACTGGCTACTGACCTTTTAACATCACCCAACTTTGGTTTTGCTTTTATCTGATGGGAATTGTTCTCTGGGTTCTTCCCTTTTGCAATAAGTATTTACCTTATTATTATTATTTTTATTTCATAGGAAGCATCACAGTTAGAGAGACTGGATTTTAAAAGAGAACTTGAACTTTTAAAGTGTTGACATTTTTAGACTTGTAGGACTTTTAAATTTTAGTTAACATGAGCTCTTAAGTAGATCTTAAGTACAAGCACGATGGGAAACATTGTGGATTAACAATGAGTAATGTGTGTGTGAAGAGTTGACAACGGGTCAAATGTGTACTGGTGGTTTTTTGTTTGTTTGATTTCCTTTTGATGTCAACCTGGCACAGACTGGGATCATCTGGAAGAATGGAACCTCAGTTGAAGAACTCTATCCACTGAATGGGACAGGGGCCTGTCTGTGGGAGTTGTCTTAATTAATGTTTGCTATGGGAGGGTCCATCTCACTGTGCACTGCCAACCCTGGGCAGGTGGTCCTGGCCTGTATAAGATGATGAGCAAGCCAGTAAGTAACATTCCTCCCCATCTCTGTTTCAGTTCCTGTCCCCAGGCTCCTACCTTGGCTCTCCTTGGTGATTATAACCTGTAAACCAAATGAAGCCTTTCCTCTCCAAAGATGGTTTTGTTCAGTGCTTTTTCATAGGAACAAAAAAGCAATCTAGGTAAGGGTCACTAAACAAAATCACCCAGTGCCAGGTGTGGGATACTTTCATAGAAGTTGTTGTGGCCCCATCAGGGAGGCTCCAGAATCCCCCAAACAATGCCAAGCTGTTGTCTATAGAAGTAGAACTCATCATTCATGAGTTCATGTCTGTCGGTTACAAGATACAGGAAAAGCGAGTTGGAATTGAGCTGGATATTTCCTGCCAGATAGTTTTCACAGTGCTAGATGGTGCTAGTTAGGCTGCTGGGGGAATAAGGCAACGATGGTCTTATTCAGCTGTGGACTCTGAACTACACTACCACCCTGCCAGGCAAGATGTGCCCACTAGTACAATAGTGATATGACTATTAGAAAGGTAACCAAATGTTCCCTCACTGGATTTGAAGCCCAGTCCACAAGGGGAAATCCATGCCAATGTCAAATACTGTAAACTGGGCTAAAAAAAAAAAAAAACAACAAAACAAAACAACAAAAAAATCCCAAACAAAACAATGACTAAGGAGAACTTGGATTCTAGGGGGCAACCTACAACCACTGATTAGCTAATTAACAGTGTCAAACTGTTTTCTAAATATGTATGTTTATTCCCATAGTCAAAGCCTTGTCTCAGCATTAATGAGAAAAAGCTTCTCTTTGCATCAAATGGAGCTCAATGTAGGGACACGTACAAGCACAAGATACTATGTGCCAGGAGCCAAAATAAAGTATGGCTGAGGGCTCAACCCTCAACAAGACTTTTGTACCACCTACTTAGGACTCAGGGAAAATTATTGATGGGGGTAGAGGAGAAAAAAATGTAAGAGCTGTAGGATAAGGAGACTAGATGGGTAGGGTAAACAAACAAATAACCTACCAGGGAACCCGCATGGGTTTGACCTAGACTCTCTGTGTATGTTACAGTTGTGTAGCTTGGTCTTCTTGTGGAACTTCTAACAATGGGCACAGGAGCTGTCTCTGACTCTGCTGCCTGCCTTTGAGACTCTTTCTTCCTACTGGATTTCCTCATCTAGCCTTAATAGAAGAAGAGGTGCCTAGTCTTACTGTAACTTGCTATGCCATAGATGGTTGATATCCATGGGAGGCCTTTCCCTTTTCTGAAGAGAAATGCAGAAGTATCGGGGGGGGGGGGGGGAGGGGGGGGGAAGGGACTGTGAGGAGAGGAAGGAGTGGAACTGTGGTCCAAATTAAAAAAGAAAAATTTAAGGGAGAAAGGCTAGGGAATGCCATTTTCTAAGCATGATACAATCAAGGCAATCATGAACTTGCATACCTAATAGCTACAAGATGAGAAAGAGGACCTTAAAGCTCTATCACACACTGTAGAACTATTGAAACTAACAAATTCTGGAAAAATGGGAGGCATAGTACCCAGTCATGTTGCCACAGATGAACCCACCAGTTTGAAACTAATGGATAGTTTCAAATCCAAGGTCACATACAACCTTAGTTAAATTCTGGAGGACATAAAACAAAATGTCATGAATAAGGCAGAGAATTATGAGAAAGTAGGGGGGCAGACAGGTAGGAGAAAATGAAGACAGGGTAGGGGTGAATATATTATATACATATATAAAGTTGTTAAAGAAGAAAATTTATTAATAAAAAAAGTAGAGAACAACCAAGGAAGACAAACACACATACACATATGGAGAGAAAAGAAAAAAGAATTAGAAATGAATTCTTGACATTAATCATACTGAAAAAATAATATTCAAATGTTCTAATTAGTTAAATTTATTTGTCTGATTCATAGAGACTACGTCAGGTACCAGTGAGGGGGAAAAGATGGAAAGTAAAATCACCTATGAATCTAAAGTTTGAAACCTTATTCCTGTGGCTGGAAAGATAAAAGATATGTCACTCTTTCAGAGGACCCAAGCTCAATTTCCCAGCACCCACACTGGGTAGGTCACAACTGCCTGCAACTCCAGTTCCACAATATTTAACACTCTCTTCTGGTCTCCATGGGTATCCACACATATGTTCGTAACAGTCAAAGACAGTTAAATAAAATCTGTTCCTAACAGTACCTTTATCTTTTCTTACCATTAAAACAGCAAATATTCATTGTATCAATGAGAAAAACTAGATTCTGTCCTATGTATTATCTAGTATAGAAGGCATAAAAGGACTGTAAGCATTTACGGTGTTGATCTTGTCATTTTGTGCTGAAGGTGGGAGCAAGGAGGAATATTTAGTTTTGCTTGACATAAACCAATCTTATGTAAACTTTTCCAAACAATTGTATAAACCTTCCTCACTCACTCTTCGCATACACTCCTTGTGGACAGCTGCATTTCCAAGCAAGCTTCTGAAACAGTTTTAAAAGTGACTGGCCCATCTGCTTACAAATGGAATTTACCTCTGCCCTACTAATTAAACCCTTGCTAATTTCTAGAATCAGCTGCATTACTATTTGAAAAAAGGGTTCCACTAGCAAAAATGAAACTCAAAATCAAGTCCTGATGAAACATGTCATTATTAAATTGATCACTATTAAATTCTAGAAACATTCATAGAAAACAGAAACACTAGTTTATAGTTATGAAATATCTAAAAGAATACTGCAAAAGGGGACTGCAGAGATGGCTCAGCAGTTAAGAGCACAGGCTGCTTTTCCACATGGCAGCTTACAACTATCTGTAATTCCAGTTCCAGGGGATCCGAGACTCTCACACAAACATACATACAGGCAAACCACCAATGTACATTAAATAAATAAATAAAAGAATACCATGAAAATAGCTTTTAATGTACTAACTCAATATTACTTCCCATATATATGAACCCCTGCCAGACATAAATGAAAAACAACACTCAATACCTTAAAGGGTCTTTTAGAGTCTCTTCTGTTTTGATGATTTTCCTCAACTCTAAATCTCTTCTGAGTAATGGCATCTTTTCTCTGCATAGTATAGTTCTGAACGAAAAGTATTAGTATGGGTTAATAAACCTTAAAGGGTACTTTAAAAACTAGTCTCACCATTTACAACATGTGTTGGAAGATTAAGACACCAAATCAAGGAGCATGGAGCTTACATACTTCTTCTCTCATATGACCCATGCTAGTTTGTGAGGGGCCAGTTTCATTCATGCCTGTGAGAAGTGTAAAAAAAACACACTCTGTATAACACAATGGTTGACTCTTAGAAAGTGGACTATAAATCTAGCAGTTACTCATATATGCATCTTGGAAAGAAAGAAACCCATTGTTAGCAGGCCTTTGTAAAGGGTTTCTACTGCCCAAGAAAAACACAAACTCTCCACACAGCCAGGAGGCAAGTTAGCCCAACACAGACTTTAACTGAGCCAAGGTGATACTCTTACAACAGCTTGAGAAGGCCCAGAAACAAGAGAAAGAACTATATTTGCAATCTAACTACAGAGACCCCAAAAGCTCAACAGAAACAAGATGGTATCCATTCTCCAGTTTCCTATTTCTAAAATCAACAATCTTATTATTTATTACCTTCTATTTAATCCATTTCTGTAGAGTCTGGCCAGAGGGAGGATTGTACTAGGCAGCTGTTGACATGGTTCCTAATTATCTCCATCAATGATCCTTCTCTTTGATTGTGGGCATACCTTTCTTGTAATAATCTTATGGTAAAGTGGTGGAATATTACTTCTAAAATTAGGTTACAAACTAACCCTGCTTTCTCTCACTTAGTCATCATTTAGAGCTGTCAGCTATTATATCATGATCTATCCTATAAGCAAATCTTTAAAATAAAGTGATTAGGGGTTTGGTGGAGGAGTGGGAACATGGAATAACTAAACAGGCATGACAGCTTTTACTGGGTAATGACAATATGCTATTCAGACATGGGGGCATATGCCTGTAATCTCTGCACTTAGGAAGTGAAAGAAGGCAGAAGGTTTGTAAATTTGAAGCTTGCCTGGAATGTAGATTGAATTCCACTGCTTAGCCTGAGCAACAAAGTGAAATCCTGTCTCGAGTCCAACAACTGAACTAACGTGATGACTATAACACATCTTGCAGAATTAAAAATCACCAAATTATACAACTAAAATGAGTGGATTTTATAGTGTATAAATTATATTTTAATAAAGTTGTTATTAAACCATTTTATGAAAATTAGTTAATATAATAAATCACTTTTTTACGATTTCAAGTAAGAAATGAGCTTTCTTGTCATAAAATCTTTAAGCCTCAATGCTCTTATAACACATAATGAAGTTGCAAGTACTTTGAAGAATATAGATATATTTATAAAGAATGTACAAAATGAAAAACCTGAAACTCCAATCTTACTATGTAAGGTTTCTGAACAAATTTTCGAAAATTTGCTTTTTTAAAATGGGGGGGCTTTTGAAATCCATCAGCACAAACAGTCTTCACCTTTGAAAAACTGGGACACTGATGATTCCTGATAAAGGGAAAGAAAGAATGTTGTTACTTTACTTTTATCAGTTAAAAGGGTTAAAAAAAAGTTAGGATATGCACAACAATAAAATTTTAATGCGCTGTCATTACTAAAATTATAAATGATGGTTATTACGTCTGTTATTTTCAATAAACATTATTTAAGTAAGCTGGAAATTACCAACACAGGAAAAACAATATTTCTTGTAATAGGGGTCTCAATCTGAGGTCCAAGGACAGAGTTCCTGGAGGCTAAAGCTGACACATGGAAGTTATTTTTTCCCCCCTCAGGAAAAAGAATAAATGGCTGCTCTGCCCACTTCCTGAGATTCTACTTGGCAAAAGTATCAGTGGCTCCTGACCCAACCTATTTACCAAAGAGAAGGTAAGATACTGGAATGGAACATAGTCACCTCAATGGCAAAGCTGTGGGCTCTGATATTGGAAAGGACAGGCTCCCAGCTCCTGACAGTGAGAGCAAGAAACCCTGACAATGAGTGTCTCCCTGAGAGAAAGATCCTGGAAGCCTCATTTCTACAGTCCTTGGCAATGCTTTCCTTGTTATATCCCCATCTCCCTTCAATGCTCAGAAACAAGGTTGTACAGAAAAATACCTCTATTAAGTTCACCCTAGTTTGATATAAACTTTCTTTTCCCATAAGTTCCCTAGTGAAAAATAAAGTTCTTATAGTTTCATGTCCTTTTAAAGTTCACTGATAAAAATTTTAAGCTGCTTAACACAACCCATACCTATAGAACATCTCAATTATACTTAGTAACAGGAGTTACTAAGAAAAGTCATGTGTCAGAAGACTTGGAAACACTGTAAGACCTGGAGACATCACAATAAAATACTGGTCACAATGAAGAGCCAATAGAGAATAGCAAGGTCTTAGACATTGGCTGAAATGACCATTAAGCTTACTGGCGAAGGAACCCAGGACATTAAGAAATAGTCATCTAGATAGAGAGCCTTCATATAACTTATATTATAATGGAATCCACCATATAAACAAACTGAAGGAAAAAAAACAAAAACACATGATCATCTCCTTAGATGCTGAAAAAGCATTTGATAAAATCCAACACTCCTTCATGTTTAAAGTACTGGAGAGATCAAAGATACAAGGCACTCACTTAAACATAGTAAAGGCAATATACAGCAAGCCTGTAGCCAACATCAAACTAAACAGAGAGAAACTTAAATCAATCCCACTGAAATCAGGGACAAGGCAAGGATGCTCACTCTCTCCTTATCTCTTCAACATAGTTCTTAAAGTCCTTGCTAGAGCAAGAAGACAATTAAAGGAGATCAAGGGGATTCAAATCAGAAAGGAAGAAGTCAAAGTATCACTATTTGCAGATGCTATGATAGTATACATGAGTTATCGCAGAAATTCTACCAGGGAACTCCTACAACTGATAAACACCTTCAGCAAAGTGGCTGAATACAAAATTAACTAAAAAAAAATCAATAGGCCTCCTGTATACAAAAGACAAATGGGCTGAGAAAGAAATTAGGGAAACAACACCCTTCACAATAGCCACAAAAGACATAAAGTACTTTGGTGTAACTCTAACCAAGCAAGTCAAAGACTTGTATGAAAAAAAACTTCGAGTCTCTGAAGAAAGAAATAGAAGTCAATAACAGAAGATGGAAAGATCTCCCATGCTCATGGATCGGCAGGATTAACATAGTTAAAAATGGCCATCTTACCAAAAGCAATCTACAGATTCAATACAATTCCCTTCAAATTATCAACACAATTCTTTACAGACCTTGAAAGAAAAATTCTCAACTTCATATGGAATAACAAGAAACCCAGAATGGCTAAAGCAATCCTCTACAATAAAAGACCTTCTGGAGGTATCTCCATCCCTGATCTCAAGCTGTACTATAGAGCAACAGTAATAAAAACTGCATGGTACTGGCATAGAAACAGACTGCTGGATCAATGGAATCAAATAGAAGACCCAGAAATAAGCCCAGACACCTATGGACACCACAAAGATGACAAAAACCATACAATGGGAAAAAAAGACAACATCTCCATCAAATGGTGCTGGTCTAAGTGGATATCAACATGTAGAAAAATGCAAATAGATCCACATTTATCACCCTGCACAAAACTAAAGTCCAAGTGGATAAAAGACCTCAACAAAAACCAGTCACATTAGACCTCTTAGAAGAAAACGTGGAAAAGAGCCTTGAACTCATTGGCACGGGAGACAACTTCCTGAACAGAACACCAACAGCATGGGCTCTAAGATCAACAATCAATAAATGAGATCTCATGAAACTGAAAAGCTTCTGTAAAGCAAAGGACACCGTCATCAGAACAAAACGACAGCCTACAGACTGGGAAAGGATCTTCACCAACCCTATATCTGACAGAGGGCTACTATCCAGAATATATGAAGAACTCAAGAAGTTAAACAGCAACAATTCAAGTAATCCAATTAAAAAATAGGATACAGAGCCAAAGAGAGACTTCTCAATGGAGGAATATCAAATGGCAGAGAAACACTTAAAGAAAAGCTCAACATCCTTAGTCATAAGGGAAATGCAAATCAAAATGGCCCTGGTATCATTTTAAAAACAAAAAGCAAAAATAAATTCAAAAAGAACCCCAAAGTTATTGTTAAAGACATCAGACATTGCTGCTAAGAATGTAAAATCATGTAGTCATGTTGGAAAAAGGTTTGGCAATAAGCACCTAACTATCAATTCTACATGTAGGTATATACTTAATAAAAATGAAGACATGACCACACAAAAACTTGCACACAAATGTTCCCAGCACTATTTATTCACAATAACCAAAAAGTGGAAACAAATCAATAGTCCATCAACGGATAAATGAATAAAAGAACATGAGATACATCCGTACAATGGAGCATTATTTAGCCATGAAAGAAATCCATGCTGTAGCATGGCTAAACTTTCAATACATGCTACATGAAATAAGAAGTCACGTCACAAAAAGCCAAACATCATATCACCGCATTTATCTAAAATGTTGAGAATTGGCAATCCATAGAAACAAAATGTGTAACAGTGGTTGACGGAGGAGGGGAAAAGAAAAAAATGGTGGGGGTCATGTCACATCTGGGTACATTGTTTCCTTCTGGAGTGACAATATATTCTTGGGGGGTAAGTGGTTTGTACACAACTCTGTGAATATAGTAAAAACAACTCATTTGCTTACTTACAAAGGATGAATTTTATGGCAATGTATGGTAAAATTTTTAAAAATCCTCATGTTTCATGCTATAACACTGTCCTCAAAGCTAACATTAACAACCTTAATGCTAACCAGCTACATTTTATTAATTATGGTCACCCGTATGAAGTAAGCATAGTTCTGGTTCCTATTTCGCAGATGAGGAAACAGAGGCTAGTTAACCTATCCCAAGTCACTCACATAGCTAGGATTCTTAAGAGCTGAGCATCAAACCCAAGTAGAATGCCAGCATTCAAGCTGTAATCATCTCAAAGGGTAAAGATACTCCCTGGGGCATTTATGATGCAGTTAGCATTGTACATGTTGAAATATTCCTGTCTCTTGATACACTGTGTTTCTTCTAAAGCTCTCTAAGCCAAGAAAATCAAAATAGACATGTTGTCATTAAATACAGTGATACCATGCGTAAGCATATAATATTAGGAAATTGGTGACTTTCACCCAGCAAAGGACAAGAAGTTTACATTTTCCAGTTGTTTTATATGCAAAGCAGTTTCACTATCTTTTAATCAGTCCCAAACTTATTGTCAACATCAATTCTAGCTAAAACAAGCTCTATGAATTTTTATTAAGGTTAGTTAGGTTTTGAGTTGATTTAAGTCTAGTCAAATAATTGTTTTAAGAGTTGATATTAAGGGTTATGGAAAAACAATTAGCACTATCCTATTCATATTCCTATCCATATTCTTTTCAGGGATTCAAATTAAGGACTCTTGCCCAAACTAGAAATTCCGTCTCATTCTATTATTTCTCTTCATCATCTGGGTTCACATAGTTGTCATAGGCTCCACTAGTTCTCAGAATTAGAGGTACGAACTGAGGCCAATACAGATGACTAAAGACCCCTGGAAAGAGGTATGAGACTGAATACAGAAAAAATGATATGATCTCTTTGGTATGCATGACATAACTTCTGCTAAAATGACAGTGACTTTATTAAGTACAGATGCCCCTTTATAATAAACTGGTCTTATTACTACAGTATGGAGAGATTTCTAAAGATTCATAAATTTGTTGGCAGTTTGTAAAGTGGGCAGAGTCAGTAAAGATTCAAATTGAGGTCTCCCTCTGCTGTTTCTTTTCTTGTTAGTTTTAGTTTAGTTTTTGAGACAGGATCTCACTACACAGATCCACCTGTCTCTGCCTCCAGGGTGCTGAGGTTAAAGGCATATGCCAACACACCTGATGTCTTCCACCTGTTTTACTCCACCTACCTACTTCAGGGAACCAAGAATTCCCAAAGAGAACTGTACTGACCTCAAAAAATTTTGTACTCATTCAGACTAAGTCAGAACCTAAGGGCCCAAACATATTAGTTTCAATCTCCTTGAGCCAAACTGCTGGTCCTGGCTCTTACTAATATGAAAACAGCTGTTATACTCTTCTTTTCTAGATTAGAAGACCTTAAATATTTACACACTCCCTGGTTTTTGATGTTTAAATCAAGCTTCCTCCAATAACTTGTGAATAACTTAAAACATCTTAATAAACAGAAAATGGATCTAAATACTCAAATCCCCAGACTAAAGTTAATCACCCAAAAATGTAAAAACTGCTGAAACCAAAAGCCTCCTAATGGCTTCTAATAGCAGGAGAGTTTTCATTCACTGATTACCTCTCTGTAGGACTAGCCATGTGAAAAATGTTCTCATCTTCATTCTGTAACCGCTCTTTTCTCCTCCTTTCAATGTCATGTCGTAAGTCATTTGGATCTATTACTTTGACCAGAGTCTAAAGAATTTTGACAGAAGATAACGCATTCATATTACTGTTAGTTGCACAAAGACCACTTCTACAGGAAACTTAATTAAATTAAAAGTCCTTAATTATTTTATACTCATTCTGCTAATGGTAGTATAAACTGATACAATATTTTGAGACACAACTGACATTAGTCAGAAAAGTTCTTAATATTAACCAGAAATCCTACTTCTGGGATTGTATCCCAAAAAGGGGTTGCCTTTAAAAAAATATTTAAAATAACGAAGAGGAAACAACTTAAATGTAAAAATAATTTAGATGGAAGAAAAGGATGCAGCAAATTTGACAAATAAATCAAACAAAACTGTACAGACATTAAAATTAATAAATGCTATATGAGTCAATATGAAAAAATACTTACAAAAAAACCTTAAAACTAAATCTCAGTTATAAAATACCATGGGGGGGGGAATTTAGAACTTTTACATGAAAGAGACTTTATGGATTATTTTAAAAGCATACTGAACTACATCTGACAGACTTTAAAATGTACCACACCATACTGCAAGAATTAAGAATATTTTGTCTTCAAATTCCCTGTAAGTTGACTATAAAGATAATTATGAATTTTCTTAAAAAATCATTCAATAAACTAAGAAATCCGTATTAATAAAAACTTTATTTCATAAGTGAAAAACTACTTACAGTACATCAGAAATACATTAAAATCTTTTCACAAAAAAATATTCTCAAAGGAAAAAGTAACAATTCATCTAGAATTTGACATGCTTTTTAAGACTTCTCTTTCAACCTGGTTAGTCATGGCAGTCTTTATTATCAGTAAAGAATTAGAAGGTGGGAGTGGAGGTGTTGCGTAGGAACACATTCAATGATAATGAAGAAATTAGCATCATTTTCATTATTTTGCTAGTTTTTATTCCACTGAATCTTTCGTAAGTTCTATAGCAAATAGACAGGCAGCACCAAATGCCACAGTTCCCTTGCATTTCTTATACATGTTCCACAGGCTAGATTTAGAAAAATAGCTGTCAATCATACTTTCTATAAGCTTCACACACTGAGGAGTTTGGGGATCAATATTAAGTGTCACCTGTAAATCAACTTTTCAAAGTTGTTATCCTTAATAACTGTGCCTCTCAAAGAAAATTTTTGGGCGCTGGAGAGATAGCTCAGTGGTTAAGATCACTGACTGCTCTTCCAGAGGTCCTGAGTTCAATTCCCAGCAACCACATGGTGGCTCACAACCATCTATAATGGAATCTGTTGCCCTCTTCTGGCATGCAGGTGTACATGCAGTCAGAACACTCATACATGTAAAATAAATATAGCTTTTAAAAAAAGAAAAATTTTGTCATTTTTTGGTATTCTCATTCTATCCTGGACTGTAATCAGTCACTTGAACAGCTTTTATAATTTTAGATTCCTGAATGTTAGCTTTTCTTCATACATCCTTCACTCTTTCTCTGGACCCCATTACAAATCCTTTTTCCTGATATTATACCAATGATAACTGTATTCACTTACCTTATCTGGTGCATATGCCGTAGTCTGTTTATTCTGAAGATCAGCCAAAGACACATCTATTCTCCTAAAATAATAAAGGCATATAATTAAATAATTATGATAATTATGTTATGCACTGACACCTTGATTCTTTTATTACAGAACAGAATTTAAAATAAAACCAGTAGGTAGGTCTTAGAGAAAGCAAAAGAAACCTGTCAGGTAGCAGGTTTCTTTTTATTTCTTTCTTTTTAAGATAGGGTCTTTCTAATGTAGCCCTGGCTATTTTGAAACTCACTGCCTGACTCAAATTCAGGTATCTGCCTGACCCCGTGACTCAAGTGTTGGGACTGAAGTCATGTGCTCCTATGCCCAGATATGCTTTTCACTTACATGGCAGTCTACAGGCAACACATATCCTATGGACCACATTATAGGGAAATTTTGGTGGTTTTCTAATCAGTGGTAAGTGTGACCTCCAAGTCTTATCTTGGTGATACACATTATAACATTGATTCAACTCAGCAGTCTAGACAGGGTGCACCACCTGCTTGTACAAATGACAGACAGCAGAAGGCATGCTTGCATCCTCAGACCTCAGAAGGATCATTTGTGACCACTTGAAGTAATCTCTTCTGATTTCAATGGCTTGACATCATCCAGTGTTACCGTCAGTAGGCAAATGCTATAGACACAGCACAATCAAAGTTGGGTAGGTCAATATTTTCAAAGGCCCACACATTCAAACAATGTTAAGACCATGACTTTAATGCAACCTACTTCGTCCATGTGTACTAGTCCAGCAGATGCTTAGATTACACTTGTTTTTATGTACAAAGTGCACTCCTAGAGTCTATACCAAGCTTAGAAAAGCAAGCTCAGAAACCTGGACCTTTCCCTATCTATTATGAGGTTTATTCTCATGAAACAAGTGAAAAGACAGTATTTAGTTATTACCTGTGAAATTCTGGATCTAAATTTGAATTCATTTGGTTGAAATTGGCATCATGTCTGTTTATTCTTGAGAAACGCTCATGAAGAGTCATTTCAGATGGTATGAAATTACTTTCTGGAAAAGAAAGCAAATAATTCCATGTCAATGTGAAACTCATTGCCCTTAAAAGATTCTATATCCAAGCATGTGGGAAGCCAGAGGAAAGCCGATTTCTGTGAGTTCATGGCCAGCCTGGTCTGCAGAGCAAGTCTAGGACAGGTAAGATTATACAAGAGAAAGAGAAAAGCCAAAACCAAAACCAAAAGGGGGGAGGGGCATAAGTCTTTCTGAATGAGGATTGATCATCTTAGCCAGGGTCCTCCTTCTTGATTAGCTTCTTTAAGTTTACAGATTTTAGTATGATTGTCCTATATTATATGTCTAATATCCACTTATAACTGAGTATATGCCATGTGTGTCTTTCTGCTTCTGGGATACCTCACTCAGGATGATCTTTTCTAGTTCCCACCACTTGCCTGCAAATTTCATGATTTTCTTGTTTTTAATTGCTTAGTATTTCACTGTGTAAATGTACCACAATTTCTATATCCATTCCTCAACTGAGGGACTTCTGAGTTGTTTCCAACTTCTGGCTATTACAAATAAAGCTTCTACAAACATGGTTGAGCAAATGTCCTTGTTTTATAATTGAGCATCTTTTGGATATTTGCCTAGGAGTGGTACAGCGGGATCTTGAGGTAGCACTATTCCTAACTGTCTGAGAAAGCACCAGGTTGATTTCCAAAGTAGTTGTACCAGTTTACATTCCCACCAGCAATGGAGGAGGGCTCCCCTTTCTCCACATCCTCTCTAGCATGTGTTCTCGAGTTTTTGATCTTAGCCATTCTGGTGGGTGTAAGATGAAATCTCAGGGTCTTTTTGATTTGCGTTTCCCTGATAGCTAAGGATGTTGAGCATTTCTTTAAGTGTTTCTCTGCCAAACAAGGATTTTTAAAAACCTGACTTATGAATTCAATGATTTTCTTCCTATCTGCCATGTTTGCTTTCTTGTCTAGAAGAGGGACATTGTCAAAGTGAGAATGATTCTTCTCCACGGTAAGGCCATACTCTACTTAGAAAATTAAGACAATACAATTCAACAGTGAAAATAAAATCAACTAACAATTCAATCAAAATAATCTCTGAACAAATATTGAAAAATATGTTTAAATGCCACAGAGTACTTTCAAACACCACTTTTATATTAACTTTAGTTCATAAAAACATTCTAAAATCAGCTATACTGAAGGCTCTTCATAGTACAGAAAGGAGAATACACTTAAACCATCAAAACGTTATGCAAGCAATCTTCTCTCCTAATTACTAGTCCTGTTTTGGGACACCCTCCTGCTTTTCTGTAATACTACCATACTTTGTGAAAACTATACTCTTTGGATAAAAAAAAAGGGGGGTTGGAGATGAGAGGGGAAACTGTTCCTGAAAAGCTGTATAACTTATTTTTTATTCATATCTAAACTCAAGTTTTAGGGGATCAAACTCAGGGCCATGTCCAGTCTAAGAAAAAGAGCTTTAATACTGAGCCCCAAAAGACCGGGTTCAAAAAATATAGATGCCTTCACCTAAGGGATAGAAGAGAAAATAATTATTGTTTAAAGTATTTTAATTGTGCATATGAATGTCCTGCCTGTATGTGTATCTATGCACCATGTGTGTGACTTGTGCCCAAAGATTCCAAAATAGTTCTAGAACTGGAGTTACAGAAGTCTGTAAGCCGCCTTGTGGGTACTGGGAACCAAATGGGGGGCCTCTTCAAGAACAGCCAGTACTCGAACTGCTGAAGCATCTCTTCAGCCACAATAATTATTTTTTAAATGTTTCATTACGGTAAAGACTGAAGAAAATAAAAATTTTACATTCTTGAAAACCTTTCTTATAGTATCTATACTATATGTAGTATTACTAGGAAAAGTTGTTTTTCCAATTAATGGAAACTCATCAAAAGCAAAATTTTAATGAAAATCTTTAAAATGCTCATTAACTCTTCAATGTCATTGAGAATGTAATCCTCTATTGATCATGCAGGAACAATCTTATAGCACAGAGACCTAGAAAGGCCCTGGGGAAGGGTTGACAATATCACATAATAGCCTAGACTTTTACACTCTGGGATCCAAACCTGTTTTTGTTGCTTCGTCCTCCTTTGTTAGCCTTTCAATATGCCTGTCATTTAAAGCAGTCTGATCATTTTCTAACTAATGATTTGAAATCTATTACCACTTGATTCAGAAATTTATTGAAAATACATAAAAATAACTATACTTGAGTGACTATATGGTTCTCCAATAGATTTCCTAATTTATGACTTACTTAAAATGAAATATTAATTACAATCAAATGTCATCAAAGGCATTTCTATCTTATGAAAAGTTAGTATATTATTTTTGTGTTATCCTTAATGTTTTTGTAAAATATACCAACCTTTAACTTCATGGATTATTGCTATGATTTCTTGAGCAAATTCTTCTGTAGGTTTGTTTTCAGGATTCTGAGTTGAGTCAAGATGTTGAAATACTGGATGAAAATTGTCACTTTTTTTGCCAACTGCAACCAAATCATGTGATATCTGTCTCTCTGCAGAATATCTAGAAGTAGACCTGAAATAATTTGAAATGTTTAATTTGAAACTATTTTGCTAAGGATGGAATTTGTTAAAATTAAGATAGCTAAACATTAAAAAGATATTTATTTATTCTGTCATAATTTAGGCACTAAATTACATGTTATAAAACCAATAAGCCATGAGTAGAAGATAAGTACAGATGAATGGTTCTGAGTTCTTTTCAAATCCCAATTCTAAGTTAATTTTTATCTTCAAACTCACAAGGCATTAAAGTTACCTAATATAAAAAAAAAAAATCAAGACTATTTTCTACTTCAATATTGTCAAAACACTATAATCAGCCACTCTGAGACACTACTGTATTTTAAAAGCCTTAATCAAACCTAAAAACCTGACTATAAAAATTCTGTCTCAGCATTAAGTAATGAGAAGCTTAGAATAATTTTTTGAAACTAAGTATGTTAAGAAATTTAACTTTGGACCAGCAAGATGGTTCAGCGTGCTTCCATGCAAGCTTAGTCCCTAAATCCATGGTGGAAAAAGAGAAATAATTCCTCAAATTGTTCTCTGACCTCTACATGGCACATGTGCTCCAGCATTCACGCATTGTGCCTCATCCTGCCTTTATGCTGAAGAACAATCTAGTCAGTTAAATTCAGTTATGTCAAAATCATACTAAGAATCACATCAAGTCATTTGTCTCCTGGGATCCCAAGAAGACATGAGGATTTGGGTTCCATTTCATCTCTCAAACCTAACTTTTCTCCTGTATAGAATAAGGACCTGCTAAGATCCTTTCTGTGAATGTCAAAAGCAGCAAGGAACATCCTGAGAAGCTATATAAAAAACAGGTGCTGGCATGGTGTGGTGTCTCATGTCTTTAATCCCAGCACTCAGGAGGCAAAGGAGGATGGGTCTTTGTGAATTTGAAGACAGCCTGGTCTATACAGTGAGTTCCAGGACAGCCAGGGCTATGGAGCAAGATCCTGTCTCAAAAACAAAACAAAAAAAACAACCACAAAAAAAAAAAAACCAACAAAAAATAGAAGCTGAACTCTCCTTAGCTTATGTTTGTATTTTAAAAGACAAACACTGCCAGTATAAATACACATAACCACATAAACAGAAACAATCCTTTGAAATGTCCTATACTCAAGAATTATCTGGAGGTCAGATAAAGGAGCTGGAAGACAAAAGGTCACTACCTATTACTAACTACATCATCTTCATTATAGGACTTTGGAGGAAAACATTGGTGATCCTCTGAATACACAATATACATTAACCAACAGTACAAATTTCATCTTGGAAGATGCAAATTAAGATGGAAAAAACTATTAGCATTTCTTTAAAAAGCTAATACCTAAATGTGTCCATCTTGTTCATGTCTACTTTAACAGTAAGTGATTTCTTCTTGACAAATGAATAGCGTTTCTCTTCAGGTTTTGGGCTTGTACCAAGTTGTTTACTAGAAGAGGCATTCTCTTTTCTACAATCTTCTTTATTTATTTTTTTCTTCCAATTGTCATTGCAAGGCCCCACATCAGCCTCCTTTTTATTTGTTTTAGTAGAGAAAACACAATCTTTCTTGTACAGTTGAAAAGGTCCACTGATTTGCTCATTCTTGGTCTCTTTTCCTCTTGTAGTACTGAAACACTCTGACTCTCTATTTCCAGGGACTCTTAGAAAATTGTACTTTCTGTCTTCTTCATTCAAGTATTTCTGAAATCTCCCATCAGGAAAGCCCTGCTCACCATCTGAGAGCTTATGATGTTTGTGACGGTAGTCATAGGACACTCTGGTTGCTGAACTTATCTCTGAGTATTCTCTCTCAGTGTATCTGTGACTTTGGGCTCCAAAGCTCCACTCTTCTTCCTTCTCTTGGAAAGGTAGAAAGGAATGCTCAGGTTTCCACTTTGGGATTCTGGCTGGTTCTCTATTTTCATACCTTGCTGCATTTATAGGTCTTTTTGATGCGTAGCCATACTTTCTGAAATCATGATTCTCAGGATACCTGTGTTGACATAAAAAAGTTTACTTTTGCAATACGTAAAAATAAAAATGCTTATATGCAGACTACTGAGCAATCTGGCCTTAAAATGCAGCATGCAAATGGCAAGACAACTTATAGGACCTATGCCAACTCATAGAGGCACACGAAAGTTAAAAATAAGACCTAACAGACTAGGATCAGAAGGAAGAAAAAGAAACCCTCCCCTACCAGTGGACTTGGGGAGGGAAGTGTGTGGAGAACGGGGAGGAAGGGAGGGATTGGGAGGGGAGGAGGGAGGGAACTAGAGGGGGGATACAAAGTAAATAAAGTATAATTAAAAATAAAAAAATTAAAAGAAAAGAAATGAAAAAAAAAGTAACATCTTTTAAAAACATTCTCACAGCCGAATGTGGTGAATCCCAGCACTCAGGAAGGCAGAGGCAGGCAAATCTCACTGAGTTTGAGGTCAGCCTCATCTATAAAGCGAATCCAGGACAGCCAAGGTTACACACTGAAACCCTGTCTCAGTGTGGAGAGATGGCTCAGCCGTTAAAGGCTAGGCTCACAACCAAAAATGTAAGAAACCCTGTCTCAGAGAGAGAGAGAGAGAGAGAGAAAGAAAAACACACATTCTAGCTGCCCACATACATTATTTAAGAAATATTTTATCATTTGAGACAAAAAAAATGACATTCAACATAAAAGTAACAAACTTTTTTACTTGAGGCTTTATGCCAAATTCCCCAAGCTTAATGATGATTTCCTGTACCTCTTTTGAAAAGTGTTCCTTGTGTCAAAGTCTTCTGAGGCTCTTCTGGGTGACTGAGGGTAGCTTTCTTCTTGTGCCCTGTGGTGTCTCAATTCATCTTCATGCCATTTCTCTTCAAATCTAAAGGAATCTGCCAGTGACATCTGAGGTGGCTTCCCTCCTCTCCCACTTCCTCTATCTCTATGCTCAACAGGAATATACCTTCCTTGCATTTGGGGAGGATAACAATCCCTTTTGTGCTCTGTGTAGGTTGTTGCACTCTCTGAGTATGTGGGTATATACTGAGATCTTCTGTCATCGTCCCCTCTTCCAGGGAAATATTCTTGGTGAGGCTTATACGTGTCAAATTTTTCAACAGGCTTTACATTTGGGGAAGGTGATCTATTTTCATAAGACCGATAATATGAATTCACACGAGGGGGAATCCTTGATTTATTCTGTCCATGTTTCTCATCATACATTCTCCAAGTAAAGGGTCTTTTTGCATCATTTCTATATTCAGGGTCATAGTGCCCATGGAAATGTCTTTCCTCATAGTATTCAAAATTTCTAGACTGTGGTGATAATGACCTATGTAAACAAGCATAGAGAAGTTTAGTTCACTTTGTGACAATCAACTGTTTTAGTGTGACATACCTAAAACACTGACCATTCCTAAAATTCCACTACCATCCCACTCAAGGTAAATCTAGGCAATTAAAATTGTCTATTGGGGTGAGGGAGACGGGTTAATGATTCTTTTGTCCTACCTGCCAATCATACTCTTTTCATACAAAATAATGTATTCAATCAATATATCAAAATGGGTTTAAATATACATGTCGTATTGCAGAGGAGAACAGGGTTCAGGTAGAAAGCGGAATCTTTTTTGAGAGACTACTAATAGCCAGTTCTAGCAAAAGTCGATGTAGTGACTTCAAAGGGCCAATCAGGAAAAACTTACATCACATTCAATAGCCAAGTGAGTAAGAAGCATGAGTGAAATAAAAAAATGTGCAGAAGAGTGTCAAGAAAGCTGAACTTGACCTCTGAAATTACAGTCTAACACAATGATGGTACAATTTAAACTCACACCCAGAAATGTTTCTATAGTTTTTCCAACTGATTGTTCTTTCCCTCAAGGCTATACCAAAGAAACAGCTTATCATGTAGCATGGGAAAAGGAATCACTTTTCTTCCACACATTTAAAAAAAACTGGGTGCTGTGGTTTGTGGCTCATGCCTGTAATACCAGTACTCGAGGAGGCAAAGGCAGGCAGATATCTAAGTTCCAGGACAGCCTGATCTACAAAGTGAGTCCAAGACAGCCAAGGCCACACAGAGAAACCCTGTCTTGAAAAAACAAACAAACAAACAAAACCCCAAACAAACAAACAAAAAAACAAGTCCCCCTCTATAACCCAAGCTGCCCTTGACTAGTATCATCTCTGCTGACAAGGCTAACCTTATATTTAAAGCAATCTTTCTGCCTCTTCCTACATCATGCTGAGAATACAAGAGTGTACCAATATGCCTATCTCTCCATAAATACTTCTAGTATAAACTGATTTTTCTTTCCAAACTCTCCTCCCTTACACATCAACTGAAATATATGCTGTTCAAATAGCTTATACCTCTTGTCAAACTGTTTTAATGCACCTATAATGCTCTCTACGGGACAGTATTATAGCTCTTCTGTATCTATCTTCTGTGGTTCCTTTATTGTGTTCATGTGATTGCCAGCATGCAGACTTGTATTCCCATTGACAAGACTCCCATATTCATGGAAAATGTTGGAGGTTACTCAGCCTTAGAGACAAGGAAAGGACTGGACATGGTGTTTCACGCCTTTACTCCTGGTACTTCGGAGGCACGGGCAGGTAGATCTATGAGTTTTAATCCTAGTCTGTATATTAAATACCAGGTCAGCCAGTGAGACCCTGTCTCAAAACCAAACAAGCAAGCAAAGAAAAAAAAAAAAGAAAGAAAGAAAAAAGAAGACGAAAAAGAGGGGTGGGAGGAGGTGCCATTTCTCTTCAAATCTAAAGGAATCTGCCAGTGACATCTGAGGTGGCTTCCTTCCTCTCCCACTTCCTCTATCTCTATGCTCATCAGGAATATACCTTCCTTGCATTTGGGGAGGATAACAATCCCTTTTGTGCTCTCAATAAAATTTACCTTTGCATCCGAATGAGAACCTTTTCCCCACCTGTTAACTTTTCATCTCCTCCTTTAGGGCTTAATGTGTCCAAATCAGTAGGAAAGGTGTTCCCTGACAATTTTTTACTTTACCTGTTCTAAGAAGCTTCTAAAGAATTGGGGCAATCATGAATCTTTTCCCCTCCAGGGGCAAACCTGTGTCATCCACAAAAGAAAGGAGACACTCCTATCTTTTCCAGTACTCATTAGGACATTTACATTGGACTTGGCAATATTGTCTTTCTGAGTCACCAAGCTAGACATACTGGTAAATATTACCAACCAGAAACAGAAACTCTGCCATCCAGATGGCTATATCTCATCAAGGAGGGAAAGCAACTACAGCCTCTGAGGAATTCCTGAATATTTCATCTCTTTTCACTGCTAAGCAGAGAACTTGGCAGCCAGAGGCAGAGGTCTTCCAGATGGGACAAAATATTCAAGATTTAACTTTAGCCCTTAATTCACATTTAAAACTGCTCTTACATTGTTTTATGTCTTACTGTCTAATGCTTCCTTCTCCTAGAAAAAGTTGTTACAATGGTTGTTAACATTTCCAATTCTCCTAAAGTTTTCTTAGGAGACAATTCTCTATCTCTAGAGTTTAGCATGCCTTATGAGTAGAGGCACTGACAACTTTGGTTCCCCAGGAAACAGCCTTGGAAACAGAGATAAGGTCTCCCTCTGGAATAGAGGGCTTATTTGTTTGCTGCCCATGATAATAAGATAATGCCTACTCCAAGTGATTCAAGTTCCTCAGCTGTGTCATAACCCTAGAACCTGTGACTGTTTTGCATCATCTATCCAGCCAGCCACTCTGAAGTGCTGGCCCTCAGGGGATCTTAGAAGGGAGAAAGAATATTTCTGATATGGGAGTATTTTGTGGCAAACTAGTATGTTGGATTATATCAAATCCTTTATAGCTCCTAACAACCAACCCTGGAGAAGGAATCAGAAGGAATCACCAGAGCCTCACTAAAAGAAGAATAAAATATAACGATCTTTGTTATTTTGTTATAGTCATTTCTATCTTTACATTCTCTTTTTGAAATTTCTCCCAAATACATGATTTTGCGACATTTATAAACTGAAAACTAAAGTAGGATCAGTGATTCACTATATTATCAGAACAAGCACATTGGCTAAGCTTTATTAATATAAAAAACATGGTTTATCTTTTGTGTAAATAATAATGGTCCTTTAGGTCAGTCCAAAAAGTTACTGGTTGCAAAGCAGAATTATTCTCTCCCTACAGATACAGAGTGCTTTGCCCCCGACAGAAACCCAACACTTTCCCCACTGTATCAAAGTTGCCTACGATGACGCTCTCCCCACCCAGTCTGTGTGCTTGCTGAGGCCATGGAAAATGACGTACTTGTCCATGTAGTCCCAGAACTTGGGACTGATGTACAATAAACTGGTTGAACTATTCCAATCTAATTACACATACTCTAGGACTGATACTACCTACCAGAGGAAGAAATGAAAGTTGAACTGTAATTGAGCTATTCAAAACCACTATTCTGCCAAGGTAGGAAACACTTTATTTTCTGACTAAATTTCTTGAAGCACATTATGAAAAACTAATCATGCACTAAAGAGATGTAAACCTCTTACTAGGTTAAAAACAAAATTATCCTCCTCAAGGACATTTCTCATTCTAGTTGTGGTCACTGCATTCCTTTTTATTATAAAGTAATTCCAGCTAACAGCCCCAATTAAACAAATTCATCAACTCTCCAAATCTAGAAATACTACCACTACCATGATCAATTGTCTGTGAACAGCCAGATCCAGTAAGCTTATTAAAATGGAACCTTGAGCATTAATGGTGATTTTTAAATCCAAGAACTATGTGAAGCGTGGAACTCCTCACCTTTGTTTCCATCTGGGGGATCTGGATCGTGACCGTGCCATCCTTCAGCATATGAGCCACCTGATTCACTTTTTATACTGTAAGGAAATACAGCATTAGGAAGTTTGTTTTTAAAAAGGACAGCAGTATGCTTTAAAAACCTGGTGGTTGCTAAGAGAGTCTTCTGTGCATATATTTCCTGATCTACAACACAGAGATAAGAATACCCACCTTACTAAAATACTGTCAAAATAAAATGAATTAAATCAAGGATAAGCAAATGTTTTCTGTAAAGGACTACACTTGAAACTATTCTACATGTCCTACAACATGAGGTCTGAATCAAATCTATTCCTCCTGTTTTATTAAAAACAAGACTCTGCAGTGGTAGCACATCCCTTTAATTTCAGTACTTGGGAGGCAGAAGCAGAGGGACTCTGTTAAGATCAAGGCCACCCTGCTCTACAGAGTTCCAAGATACCCAGGACAATAACCCTGTCTTGAAAAAAACAAACACAAAAACAATCTCTTAAAATGTAAAAATGTAACTGTACATTACATAATCACAGTACTTGGGAAGATGAGACAAATAGAATCCTGAATTTGAAGCCAGCCTGGGCTATGTACCAGTTTTGAGACCAGCTTGGGTTACACAATAAGACCATGCTTAGAAAAAAAAAAAGTTCAAAAACATGGTTAGACCATTTTGAGATGTGCTATAAATATAAAACACACATCAGCTTTCAAAGATTTGGCCCAAACAAAAGGATGTAAAGTACTTCATCAATCTATTTTACTACTGATCATATGTTAAAATGATTTTTTTGGTATACTGGATTAAATGTACTATTAAAATGTTTCCAAAATTTTGAAATTGATAGGATCAGGAATTCAAGGGTATCCTATACTTCATATCATGTTCAAGGCTAGTCTGGGATGCATGAGACTCTGTCTCAAAACAAAATTCAAAACAAAGCAAAAGAAAATAATATTCTGGTTTGCTTCTCTGTGGCTGTGACAAAACACTGACCAAAAGCAACTTGGAGTAGGGCACAATCTGTTTAAGTGTACAGGTTACAGTAGGAGAAAACTAGAACAGTTACTGAAGGAAACTAATGCAGAAGCTGAGCAAGAAGGCAAAACAGAAGGTGGGAACATCAAGAAATGCTGTTTACTGGCTTGCTCTCAGGCTCACCTTCAGATTCTCCCCTTTCTGGTTTCCTTCTATTATTTTTAGAGACCAAGTCTGACTATACAGCCCTTGCTGTCCTAAAACTCACTATATCTCTCCTTGAACTTGTAAAAGATCAACTTGCGTCTGCCCCCTAAGTGCTGGGATTAAACATGCCCAGTATGTTTGTCAATTTTCAGGTTTGTTTTTGTTTATAATCTTAGGTCACTTTCTCCTGAGACATGTACATAGTTCTAATTTTACTATCACAGCAATACTAAAAAAAAAAAAAAAAAAAAAAAAAAAAAAGCACACATACAAAACAAACAAACAGGAAAAAACTATTCCAGTCTGGTAACACCTCTGCAGCTGTGAAAACCCCACCCCACCCCTGTGAACATTTTATGCTGAAATCTAGAGCATGTACTGTAAGTCTGACTGTCCTGGAATTCCCTTTCTGCAGCATTTTCAAGGCAGCTTCATCTGAGCAGTGGAGATACTGAGGCTTCCAGTCTCTACCGCCGCCGCCACCACCACCACTTATCTATCTGCTCACCTTCTCTGCTTTGCAGGGCTTTCTTTACTCTTCTGTTTTCTGGTCAGGGACCTGCCCATGATTCAACATATGACTTGGGTACAAATTCACTGTCGGGTGAAAAGAGTTTTCCTAGAAGAATAGCGCTTTAAGAGACCGATAACACCCCCCCCCCCATCCTACACTGTGTCCTAAGGCATTCTGCTCTCCCTCCCAGTAAAGGTACCTGTTGAGGTAAAGTGACAGGAGAGTAACACTGAGGATATTTCATCTTGTTTGCCAGCATGGGTTTCAAAATCAATTTCATTATTGTGTGTATGTGTGTGGAAGTATGCTCGCTTAAAGTTTCTCTTGGGAGGGGATGACTCAGGGGTAGAATTAAGGTGTCTGCCTCTCTCACTTTCTACGGTAAGGTCTCTTATTACACTGGAGTGCACCTTTCTACCTTTTAAGCTAGACTGACTGGTCATTAAGATGCTAGAATCCAGGTCTTGGTTCCCTTTCTCCCATTTCTGGTTTTCCTAACAAGTATCATTAGGCCTGACTTTTATGTAGACAGCTCAGGATCTAAACCCTAGCAGTAATAAAATCTAAGACTTGCATCAGATAAGAATCATGTGGTGGAGGACTTTGCAGCCAGTCCTGAAGACACCTGATAAACCAGTGTCAGATGAAAGGGGAGGAGGTCCTCCCCAATCAGTGGACTTGGAAAGGGGCAGGGAGGAGATGAGGGAGGGAGGGTGGGATTGAGAGGGAATGAGGGAGCGGGATATAGCTGGGATACAGAATAAATAAAATGTAACTAATAATAAAAATTTTAAAAAAGAATCATGTGGTTTAACAATGTGTGGACAAAGAATCTTAGTTTCATTATATCATAAATATAATTTATATTTAACTCCTGTTTAGTAATCTGGCAAACTGATTGTGTTGCTCTGTCTCATGATCTTCATTACTGAGTATTTTGTTAAATTTAGAAAGAAAACACAATAGGAGGGAACTGGTAAGTGAGAGGCAGAAACAGACCTAAACACAGTTAAGAGCACAGAAAAAACATAGAAAGGGGCTGGGAAGTTGGCTTCGGGGTATGCGTTTGTAAACCCAGTGCCAAGAAAATTAACAGGCAGGTCACTAGCCTACTTGGCACAGTCCAGGCCAGTGAGAAACCACTTCAAAAACAAATGAGGCTGGAGAGGGATAGCTAAAATGCTTGCTGAGCAGCCAGGAAGACTTTTATTCAAAATCTCCAGCACTTGCATAAAAGCCAGGCATGACTGTGCAAGTCTGTAATCTCAGCAGTGGAGACAAGAGACAGAAAGATCCCAGGGGCTTGCTGACCAGTCTAGCTGGAATGACAGTCTCCAAGTTAAGTGAGAGACCTAGTCACAAAAAATAAGGTAAAGTAACTGGCCTCCACATGTACATGTGTACATGTTCCTATTTAGGGGTAAGGAAAGATTTTATAGCAGGCATAGTCATGTACAACTTAAGGCTTAGCTGTTGGGAGGCGGAGACAGAGTTCAAGGCTAGCCTGATGACAGAGTGAGTCTCAGGAGAGCAAGAGCTGCAAAAACAAAAAGACTTGATACAGTAAACAGGATTTTGTCCTTTGTTAAAATACAAAAGGAACAAACAAAGAACAAAACCAAAAGACCCTAATATTTTTTTTTTCCAAAACAGAAAAGAAAAAGTGAAAGACTAAACCAAAAAGGTTCAGAGTGTCACCAAAGGTCCAAGTTAAGCTGGAAAAGGCTTTCTAAGGAGGTGACTCCAGGTCAGAATATTTCAGTGTATACACGGCTGACTTGGTGGTGAGAAGAGCTACAGTAGTAAATATGGAGTGTGGTTGGCTTCTTGCTTTTCTCAGAAAAAGTCCTTGAATCATGGCATCAAATGAACTGTTCCAACACTTGGCTCACCTGGACCATAAAGTGCACTGTACTTTTTGACACAAATGGACAGAGGTATGGGTGGGGCTCAACTTTCTTCAAGAGAACTTCAGAATGTACTGCAAGAAAAATCCTTATTGGTGGAATAAAGTTCCGTATTTTAAGCTCAGAGACAGAGGGTTTTGCAAAGGGTTATCTACCAGCTGACAAAGATTCCTGACAGTATCAATGTATTATCCAACTAAACAAACGTAACTGGAAAAAAAGGAAGAAAGTTTTCCGGAAGATAAATTTCAACGCGGGACGTGAACAATTCAAGGTTGTTAACATTTTCAAGGACAGGGGCTGGAGAGATAGCTTAGCAATTAAAGAGCACTGTCTGCTCTTTCAGAGGAACTGGCTGCAACTCCCACACTCCCAACACCCATGTGGCTGCTCACAATTGTCTGTAACTCTAGTTCTGTGGGATCAGGCCTCCTCTTCTGGATTCATTATTCAGCATTGCACACAAGTGATACACAGACTCAAACCTTGCCAAAATACCCAGACATATAAAAATAAGATTTTCTCAAAGTTAGAATTCTTAAGGTTAAAAAATCACTGCAACAGTATGAAAAGAAAATCCAGGTATAAAAACCAGCAATGTTTTCAGACATTGCTGTTGATAATCTTTGGAAAACCTATGTATGTGCACATATTTGAAGACCAGAGGTCAACCTCAGGCATCCTTTAGCAGAATGAGTCTTCTTTACTACCTTTTAATTTTATTCTAGGTTTTGTCATTAAGCGGATTATTTAATTCTTTTCTGACATTTAGTTTGTCTTCTCTGCTTTCTCACAGAACAGTGGTTCTCAACTTTCCTAAAGCTGTGACTCTTTTCGTGCAGTTCCTCGTGTTGTGGGGATCCCCATTCAGAAAATTATTTCCTTGCTACTTCATAACTGTACTACTGGTACTGTCATGAGTCATACTGTAACCGTCTAACATGCAGGTTATTCAGTATGTGAGCCCTGTGGGGGATGGCACACACAGGTTGAAAACCACTGCCATCGGAAGTGCTTGACAAGGTAGGACAGATCCTTTGTTATCGTGTTCGGCTTTTATCTTAGTGTCTTTGTGATTATTAAATAGCAGGGTGCTCAGTATTTGTAGAAAGGAGGAGAAAACTTAAGGGTTGGTTTTGTATCTGACTTTGAAAAAAAAAAAATTCTTCCCACCCCTGGGATTCATCTGAGCTTGTTGAACATCGGTAATTCTTACATGGAATTGTGGCCAGACACAGCAGCACAGGTCTTTAATCAGAGCCCTCGGGAGGTTCGGGCAGGCATTTTCTCTGTGAGTTTGAGGCAAGCCTGGTTTACAAAGGAGCTCCAGGCCAGTCAGGGATAACCAGTCTCAAAAATCAAATGACAAAGGAAAAATAAAATAAAAAATCCTTTAATCCCAGCACTCAAAAGGCAGAGGCAGGATTGCTCTGGAGTTCAAGGCCAGCCTGTTTTATA